TTACAGAAGATGAGGTAGAGTGTCTGGACGGTACAGGAATGTTAGAGGAGGATCTTAGGATAATATCATCTGTTATATTTAATCTAGTTTTTCTATTTGAACTAAATTGTATTTCTATTTCACCGTTTGGATGTTCAATTATCTGATCTGGGTTATGACTAACAGGAGTCCTATAAGTCTGGTTTTCAATCTGAATTGATCAATTTTCTGGGAGGCTTATTTGTGACCAATTTATGGATTTTGGGACAACAGTATTTGATTTTTCTATATTAGTCTGGAAAAATACTGTTTGACCTTTAGTATCAATTTGTAGGACGTTTGGGCATAATGTACTCATAACTTTATAACAAATTCTGCATACTAATGCTATGTTTTGGGATCCAGGATTCATATCGAATCCTTGGGTTTTAAGATTGAGCGTTAAGACTTTGAGAAAATTAGGATCACTTAAAGATACAGAAAAATTAGAAAAACAATTAAAATATACAGGGCCACTACAAAGACTAGATTCAACGACGCCTAGTAAGGAATCTGTAAATTTGTTATGTCTGCTATCCCTAAGGCATAGCAGTATTGAATTATTTAATCCAAGTCTTGCAAGAGGCTTGACTGCTATTTGTATAAGCCCTATATGCAAAAACTTATAATTCTTATTTTTATGAGATTGGATCATTTTATCAAATAATAATTGGAAGTTTTATTGTTCACTGTTAACAGATAGACTCTGTTCTACTGTTTTTATTGCGTATCCAGTTTTGAATTCAAATGTACCTTTTTTATAACTATCTGTTATAAGTACTTTTGGTATATCCCAAATTTGTATCTGTTTTTCTATATTATCAATTATTATCTCTTCTCTGTTTTTTATCCTAAGTATGCTATTAGAAGGGGCTAAAGTTTTATTGGACAAAGTCCTGATAAAATTTTCCATTAGGGTACGGATGATGACTTTAGTCAACCTCTTACGTCCCTGGTACCTAAGTGGCTCTTCCTAGCCTAAAATGGTAAAACGGGTTCTGGGCGACAACGTCTCAACTCTCGGACTAACCTCTTAATGAAATATTTTATCAAGTACCTTGTACTCTAAAATTTTTGTACCTTAGAATAATAAACTTTAGATAAAAACTGAGGTGGCTCTAATACCCATTGACACAAGACCTATTTCTCAGATTTTTCTCAGCTTTTATTAAGCTAAATATTAATGATCTAAAGTTTATGATTTTAAAAATTTAAACTATCAATCTAATTATTCCAAAGTACAAACATACAATAATCAGGATAAACAAAAAAAAAGGAGATATATCTAAAACAAGCCAATTATTATAGGTAAGATTTCTAACTGTTAGAGACACTATAAACTTTATTTGCATGATACAAATACAAGTGTATTATTAATCAATTTATAGAAACAAACTAACTTACAATTTACAGATGCAAATTTACAGAAACAAACTAACTTACAATTTACAGATGCAGAAGTTAGTGAATAGCTTCCATTCATCAGGACAAAAACTCGATAGACTAGCAAAATTACAATCACACATGGAGTGGTTTATAACACACCACCCAATATACATGGTTGATAACAGTAAAGAAGTAGAGAGACTGGATTTTACAATTTTAACATAGAGAAACTAGCAGAGAAGATGAAAAACCAACAGAAAGTAGAATTCAAAGAAAAGGAGATTTAGGCTTCAGAGAGGTCTACTGAAGAGGAATATTACAAACTTTACTCGGAAAGACTAAGGTAGGAGTAGTACTGGTTTTCAATAAAGACGAACCCGTGGTTGGAACCTTTGAGTGGAGTATTTAGAAGAGATAGAGGGCAGAGAGAGAGAGAGAGAGAGAGAGAGAGAGAGAGAGAGAGAGAGAGAGAGAGAGAGAGAGAGAGAGAGAGAGAGAGAGAGAGAGAGAGAGAGAGAGAGAGAGAGAGAGAGAGAGAGAGAGTAGAGTAGACGTACGTAGAGTAGTGTACGTAGTAGTAGAGTACGTAGTAGTAGTAGTACGTACGTAGTACGTACGTACGTAGTA